ATGATTGCCTCATTTGGAAACGGATTATCAATTAAATATCAAATAGGTTTGTTACAAGAAGAAATTAAATAAGTTTTAGAAAGAATATTCTAGAGAATAGATAATTAGTAGAGTTGTTCTCTTAAATATATAAAAATATACGTAAAAAGACTTTGTAAAAGGCATCGTTCACTGCTTCAAGTTCTAATTATAATAAAACAAAGCCTCTTTGTCTTGAATTTTCTCTAAATAAACCTATCCATTTGGTTATTTGTCTTATAATATATTGCTTCTATAGAAATTTTATATAGTTGTTAACATGTTTTTTAATGATATCTTAATATCTACTAGACTGATTTGAATAATCTAACCACTATTAGATATATCTTAATGAGCTCTACACTTTCTCTTAATACAGTAATAAGAAAAGAGTTTTCTTGGATGATCATAGTATTTAAGATATATGTAATTTATATAGTAATTTGAGTCATATTATACTATATATTTTGTTTTGTTGACTTGCAGATCATCAATTAAACAAAAATTTTTTTTTTTCTTTAACTAGTCTTTTTAGAACTAAGGTTTTTATTCAAGTATTTATTAAGTGAGGGGTTTATTCCAACCCTGTATATTAGTATATTTGTGCCTTTTGAGTATCTAATTAAGTATCTACTAATTACTAGGTTCTACACTAGATGTCGTATCTATAATCCACTATTACTTGAGCTATCCAATTAAACCCTCTGTAATACAACTCTACCTGTATCACTATTATCTTATGAAGTCCTAGATCCTTACCTATATCCTTAAAACTAATTTATTCTCGAGACATCATTGCTAGAGCTTTCTATATCCACAAATCCAGCTAACCTAGATTTTTCAGTAACTTATACCTAGTCCAAGAACAAATACTTGCGAGTTGAAGCTGCTATCATTACCTACTCCTGCCCTTGTAGAGTTTATCCAAATCTCAGTACACACTATACAGACTATTTATCGTATTTCTGATTTTCTAAACTTCTAATCCAGATGGTCTAAAAAAGCTGTGACCTGCTGCTGGTATCCATGGTTAAATCCTTTTCTTTCAGTTACTTGTCTGGTAACCTGGTTGATGGAGTGCTGCCAAACATTTCAGACCTGTTCAGTTTCTTCGGTTCTCCAAATAATAATCCTTTATGTAGTACTGTCAAAAATCTGTACTATCTTTCTACCGGAGTCTTGCCAAGTGAGCTTCTGTATGTGCTAACCCTTAGATTTATATAGCTATTTCACTTGGGTTTCATATAATTCATATGTCATACTATGTTACACAGCTTCCCAGTACAAGCTGATGCGACCAAAGTTACAGATACCAATCTGTCTATTTATATATAGGATCTTTGTAGTAGAAAGGTAGATACTGCTAAAAAAAGAAAATCAAGTTTTTGCTATATTCGGATAAATTTTGATATGAGCTATATTTTTTAATTATAAATGAAAATGGATTCTCATAATAAAAAATTGAGATATTTAAAAAAAACTTTTGGAGAGTTTCATATATCATGAGATTATCCAATATAACTAACCAATAAAATCATGAAAATTTTGATTAACCTGGATCAATTCGAACAAAACAAACTCGATTTTTTCAAAATTATATATATTGACACATCTGCCCTTTCTACTGCAAAGGTCTATATAGTTTGCTGTTATAGTTTTATTGTAAAACATTTTGTAAATTCAAATTTCATCACTAGTGGGATTTGAACTCTTGTTCTGCTGCTTGGGGTGCAACAACTTACCAACTTTACTAAGTCGTTATACCCTTCAATTAAACAAGTTTTACTTAATAAGCTATATCAATTTATTTAATAAAGTTTTGACTTTTTTTTTAATATTAAGGTAACTACTTTGGAGTCTAGCATGTTTTATTAAACTTTGATTTGAATATCAGGATAACTACATGGGCTACTTCTAACATTGTTATATTAATGAGAGTATAGTTGACTACAGTACATATATAACTTTAGTTATTGCTTATTTAAAGACTCTGCTATACATATTACTATCTATAGCTATCTATTACTTGCTATATCTAGATTCACTTGTAGATCTCTATTTAAACTCTCTGATCAACTTAGTGCTATTAGATATTCTTTTCAAAGAGGAACTGCTGCTAAGGCCTCTTAGAACTACTTTATTTTTGTGATAAAAGTTTTAACTTTATTATAGAATAATTACTAATAATCATAAGTAGCTTATTTTAATACAAAAGAAGTTTTATGTTTTTTTTTTAAAAAAAAAGTAACTTATTTTTGGGAATATATGGTATTAAATATTTAAAAAAAATCTGTATTCTAATTAAAATTTTGAATATATAGAATATAGCAACTTAGTGAAATGATAAAGTTGTCACACTTTCAAATAACCAAATACAAGTTTAATTCTTATAAAAAACAAAATTAAATTTAGAAAAAAATAGATTTAGCAACTATTATTGTAATTAGAAAAACTTAAGACCCTATAACTGTGATCATGCCAAGTAAAAATTATATTAGAATTAGAAAATTTTGAGATATTTGTATAATAAAAAATTATATAAAGACATATAAGCGGTTGCAATTTTTTGCAGGCTGAGCAAGTCTGAAGCAAAATTTTTATAACTGCAGGCAGAGCTGGGTCTAAATTTTATAATTGCAGGCAGTTTAGTAAATATAAATCTATAATAAGTTTTTAAAGTTATAAAAAGCTATAGATCCAATATAGCAGTAAAGTGTTTGCTTGACAAGTCTTAAATAAAGAAATAATACAAACTTTCAATAGTACTACTAGAATAAACTATACTTAAAGTTAATATAACTAAATAATAATCAGATATTTAGCAAGGTATCTATCTTACTAACCAGGTTGCTAAAGAATTAACTAAAAGAAAAAGATCTATAAAAGTAAATACCAAAGAACTAGTATTTTTTTTAAACCATCTAAATTAGTAGTTTGGAGAGATATCAAAAATAGAAGATATTAAGTAGACTTGAAAGAGAATATTAAAGTTTAAGTAAACTCTATAAGGGCAGAAATAGATAATAGTAATAAAGTTAAAGATTGCAATTACTTGTATTTGAACTTAGTATAAGTTATTGAAGTTTAGATTAGCTAGATTGTGAATGTAAAAAGCTATAACAGATTTATTCTAAAAATAAAATAGTTCAAAAGTAATTATTAAATTAAGATTAAATATATAAAAATATATATAGTTGATATAAATCTGATACTATAAAAGTAATTCGTTAAACAATAAATAGACTAACCAAAGAAATTACTTTAAAAAAAATTTAAATATATTATATCTTTAAATTTTTATTATTGATTTATATTATATCTAATCTTAAAGTTTAATTATTTGTTACAGTCAAACCTCTCTAAATGCATCCTCTATAAATGCACGCCCTCTCTAAATATACACTCAGATACTGGCCCAAATATATTCTTGACCTTTATAAGTACACTTTTTCTTATTATTCTTTAAATGCACGTTGCTAAAATGTGGTCCCAGAGATGTGCACTTAGAGAGATCTGACTGTATACAGATTTTTTGAAAGTGTTCTTGAGGTAGTTGCTAAATTCTGTAGCTAATTAGAATATTTTAATTTTATATAGTATAATTATATAATATAGATATATCATTTGGTTTAACGATATACTCTTGAACATGTTTAGAAGATATACTCTTGAAGTATACTTTGAAATACTATATTCTCAATTCTAGATTTGAATTAACACTAATGTATAGTTGAATTAAATTATAAATAAATATTAATTATATCTAAAATTTTGCAAAGCATTTTTTTATTAAAATGCAAAAGGTAGTTTTATAAGCAAAATTATAAGTTGCAAATAATTTTTTTAAAATATTACTATTTTTTGATTTTATATTACATCTAATCCTATAATCTGATTGGTTAATCAGATGAATATATTACAATACACATATATTAAATTATATAATTCTATAATATATTATAATTTTGTAATAATTATATAATACAGAAATTTTTAAAACAAAATATAGTTTATAATAATAGCCAAATTTCAAAACCTTATACAAAAATTAAGCAATATAATTGAATAATAAAGTATAAATTAATTTTTAAAAAATTTTTTTATAATTTTTGCTAAAATTATAATAATTTTAGCCAGAATTATAAAGCCAAATTTTAATTTTATTAATAAAAAAATAATTAACTTTGAAACTTTATAAATATATTAAACTTAAAAAATGAAAAAACAAATTTTATTTTAAATCTTTTTCTACATTTTTATAAAAAGAAAAATTGGTTTCTATACCAGTTATTTTTTATGACAATTTAAAAATTATCTATTATACGTGTTGATTTAAAAATTTCTACACTATATATACCTATCTATATTATATTTAGTATAAAACACAAGTTTTTAATAAAAAATTAATTATATTTTTAATATCAGATATAATAATTAAACCTCTTAAATCTAAAACTAATACAAATATATATATCAAAATATATCTACTATACATATAAGTTTAAACAAAATATATAATCTTTTTTTAAAAAAATGTAAAATTATACCTAATTTTTTACTCATTTTCGGGGTTGCTTATTTTTGAAACTTCATAATATTTGTTAACTGTAAATTTCATAAACTTTTTTGTATCGTTAAATCAAAATTTTCCATTTACTATATTTTTACAATTTTTAATGCAATGGTTAATACAATTTTACATTAAATTTTTCATTTCTAATTTTTTGCTTGAAACAGTTAATTATTGTATTAATAAGATATTTTTTTTCTTTTTATACAAAAATATTTACTGTATATATATATGTATATATTAAAATTGTTGCGATTCAAAGTTCAATCTAAAGCTTTTTGGGTCATAAACTGAAAGTCAATATAAAATAAAAAATTAGCTGCAAAAAAAAAAGAAAAGAAAAGAAAAAAAGGAACAAAAAGAAAAAAACTTAACCGTACTCGATGATTTATTATTTTAACGCGAATGCACATTAAAATATTTGAACTGGTGGTACTCTTTTTAGAGGAGTTGGTCTTTTAGGTGAAGGATTTGGCGCATCATCAGACTCTTCATGAGAAGAAGTAACATCATTGTTATTTACCCCTTCCTCACCACCTTCATGAATATTTTCGTCTGTATCCATCGAATCACAATCTCCATCTAAATCAGCATCATTCACCGTAGGTTCATCTTCATGACTCTCCGTTACTGGTGACGACGATCGCATTGATTGTTCATCGTGTTCATTCAGAGTGCCCTCACACTTTAAGTCTACTTTATTTGTTTTTATTGATTCTGACGCTGACATGAAACTTCTTAAAGAAGCAGATGTCCCATTAATCTCGGGATCATGAACTAAGTACGTACGACCAGTTACAGGCGCTTCGTTTTTACAATTTATGCTTGGAGTGGAAAAATCTTCTGGCAGTCTGATAGCATCCGAATCTTTTTGAGGAGTATTTATTCCCATGCTCATAGAAGTATCTGGTTGAGATTGTTCCGTTATTTGAGATATACCTTCGCGAGTATTAGACAAAACGCGTGCGCTAGATAAAGGATGAGTATTCTGACTAGTATGTTGATCTTTTGAAACATTAGATGAGACTGCTGATGACAGGATTAATTCTGCAGCCAGGGAGAGATTGTCTAATCCTGTGTGATCATTTGGCCGCATTGCGGAATACGATGTAGACCCGGCTGGAACATTTGTTTGGATAGGAGAGTATGATGAGATTTCTGTAGGCATGTTCATTACATGACCGTCTAATTGCATTGGATATGCGATTGGCATTAGATTAGCAGTAGGTTGCCGAAAAGAATAAGCGGAATATGCCACTCGGTCACTGTCATTCTGTGATACAGAATATTGGGAAAAGACCGATCCGTTTAGATCTTGCTGATTTGGTGAAGAAGTAAAGGAATGATTACGGACAGATTGTGCTGAATATAACGAAGGAATAATCTGCTGATTTGTCGTCGATTGAATCTGATTGTGAATAACTAATGGCTTTAGAAATAATAATAATGAGATTCATGAATTTTGATGACAAAACATTAAATATAAATTCACTTTCATCATAAAAATTGTTGTTCAAGTCGTATGTATGGTTCTCTGAAAGATTTACCTCTCAAAAGTGTAAAACAGATTTTACTTACTTGGTTTATATGAGTTGTCTGCGGTATTTTTCGAACATAGGGAAAATTATACGTTAAATATCCGTTTGTTTGTTGCTGAGGAACGTATTCAACTATCTGGCCTACCCTTTCCTGCTTTGGTTGGTTATGAGGTGATTGATTCTGAAATTATGAGTGTATGTGGTGAATTTTTTAGTCATAAGTTATACTATACGTTGTTTATACATTGATACAAATATAAATGCCATCATCGAAAAATATTGATAAATTAATTACTTTTTTTTTTGCACTCTTTTTTTCTTTCAGTCCGGAACGTTGTTCGACTCGGTACGACTAATTAAATGTTCCGAAACTTTTTATCAGACGAAATATGAATAATAAATAAACAACAGTAATACAAACCTCTCTACAAGCTTCTTGTTCTTGTTGCAAACTAGCTTGCTTTGCACGTGATTCTATCAACTGGGCATTTGATTCTTTAAGTTTTCTGCTAAGTATTCTAAGATCTTCTTGCAGTAGCTGAATTTCTACGGCATGCTTGCTGCTTTTCTCTTTTTCCTGCATAATAAAGAACACCCAAATTTATTTGAGTTGAATAATCGAATTGCTTGAATAAGGTATTAATATCAATAAATCGACAGAGGAAAAATGGTAAACATGGGAACCCCTAAAATCTCGCTTACTCTCATTGTATGATACTTTATCATCCCTTCAATGTGTTCATTTGCTTTTTTTAATCTGTTGTTAGCTTCTTTTAACTACAATCAGATTATACGTTAAAAAATCGTCTCATTAGAAGCGGGCACCAAACAATTCCATATTGGTAAAACTCAACTTTTAATCCAAATTCCCGTGTTGATCTTTCCAGCATTGTTTCGTATGCTCGAATATGAAGCATAACATCTCGCAACTAAATAAAATAAACTCATAAGTATAAAAAAATTCCACAATGCGAATATAGAAAGATTAAATGATTCCCAACCATGCGTTTCGCATCCTCAATGTCTAGTTTGTCCACACTATCATCATCTAGCATAGAAAAACTTTGAGGATTACTTTCACACAAAACGTCATCCTAGATATTAATGTTTGTTAGCTCAAATCTTACACGCTAAGTATAAAAATGTTAAATATTGCCTATACCTCTGTTTTAGGATTTAACTGTAGCATACTACTTGAATCATAAATAGCTCTTGAGGATGATGTTGCATTTTCACTGACTGGCGAATGATGGCCTACAGTTGAATTGGTTGAATTTATCATATCTAAATGTGTTATTTAGGAAAATTTATCAGCACATTGCCTTTATAACCAACAGAACGGTCGCTACACTAACCTTCGATGGTCTGATTTTGAGATTCTGTTTCTTCATCAGGTAATAAAACTAGATCAATTTTCCATCTCGCGTTTTCTCCCCATATGGAAACCTGTAAGAAGATAATAGAAGAACACATAATTAAAATTTCATTGCAGTGATTACAATTTGACAGATATATCAATATCGAGTAATAATGCTTTTTCCTTTAATGTTTAATCATTGTATTTTAAATTAATGCTCGAAATATAGTATGATTTACATCTTTGCTAAAAAAAAAAAAAATAGTACAGCTCTAAGACATAGAATCTCGATTATTAAATAAAAACTTTCTCTTATTCATTCAATGTTGAAGCAGATTCTTGATATCAGCAACTGAGCTATTGTTAAGACTGTACTAAGCGTTTATGGCTTCTTTTCGATTTAGAAGTGGATGGAAGCTAAACCATTTTCGTCGTTTTATGGTCTTATGTATTTTACTTAAAAAAACGGTGTATTTATACCTGTTTCTTAACTGCTTCAAAGATACTTTCAAGGTGTGCTATCGTAGTTGGTGGTAATGGGTGCATTGGTTTAATCGCGACGCTGGTTGGTGTTGTTGAGACCATTGTAGTTACGGGCTCAGTCTTTCGTGTTTGAGAAGAAATTTTATTTACGGGAATGTGGTAAGAGTGTGCTGACATTTTTCTTAATAAATTTAGCCTAACAAATTTGTTATATTGCGAAAATAATTTTTGCTTAAAAAACTGTTTCCTGTTTAACACAGAATGACAGAAATGCGTGAAGTACGTTATAAAATATAATAGAGGATCACGGTTTTTAATGTGTTGGCTGAAAATCCTATAATGTTCGTGTTTGATCACGTGTGGACCGTATTTATCGCGTTTGATGTTCCAGCTATTACAGATAATTAAAAAAAAATTCTTATTTGTTTATATCAGTATATTGTACAGTGAGTTGCACTAATATTCTGATCAGTTTTTGAAATATTAATACACATAAATTTAGATGCAGTTTTATCTTTGTCTACTAGATATCTTTACCGCCGATCTGTTATATATTATATAATATATAATAAAAAATTTTTCGATTTATTTTTAGCCTATTTATTTAGCAAAAAAAAATTAATTTGGTTTAGTTATATCGATATAGAATATAAACTTTATTTTTTTTGTTAATTATAAGAGTTATTAGCAAAGTAAGATTAGTAAATAGCAATTTTTTAATATACAGTCAAACCTCTCTATAGTCACACATTTGGGACACAAAAAGCCGTGATTATAAAGAGGTGTGATTAATATAGAGGAGGTGATTATAGAGGGGTTTGACTATATATTTATATATACTATATATAATATTAAATAAAATAAAATATATACAGTATATTCTGTATATTGTATAATAGTATTTTATATTATTAATTAAAATAAAATCAAAAATATAGCAAAATAAACAAATTACTAAAAAATATAAAATTTTAAAAAATATTTTTTAATATTTATAATTAATTATACTATAGAAATTTTTAATTATATACATATAAATTTAATATTACAGAAATAATATTTTATAATTATATAGTCAAAACTTTATACTATAATTATAAAGAAATATGATTAATATAAGAGTATTTTTTATATAGTTATAAATAATTAATAAAAATAAGTTTGATTTAGTAACTATAATAAAGGTGATTATAAAGGAGTTTGACTATATTTCTGTTGTATCAGCTAAAATAAAATCAATTAAAAAAATATTTTTGATTAAAAGATTTATTTGATTATTATCTTATAATAAAATATTGCCAATTTGATAATATCTTATAAAAAAATAAAAAAATAAAAAAATATATAAGGTTAGAAAAACTATAATAAAAAAGAAAATAACTATATTTTATCAGAAGAAATCACTAGTCTTATGTTTTTAGAATTAGGATGCAATTTTAAACAAAGCTTAGAGTTAGATATTAGAACTTTAATTTTAGTTAATATAAAGTTTTTGAAGATTCTAAATACAGTATTTTTATTTAATACACCTAAGAGGTTTTAGCTAATATATTTTTGAGATATAGCACTTTGGTGAACTTTATTACTAGTGAAAATTAGCAATTCTCATAAAAAAATATATAAAATTTAAAAAAAATTTAAAAAAATATAAACCAATATTTATAAATTTATATTAAAAGTCACAAATATTTAAATAATTCTTCCTAATGATTATTTAGATACAAAAACAAGCAAAAGCTAAACTTATAAAAACTCAACAAAAGCTATAGAAACTAATATAAGTAGCTTTAAAAACTAGAAAAGCAACAAAAAACAAATAAATAGCTTAGAAACAAATAAAACTAAATCTACAAAAAGCAAAATAACAAAGAAAAAATAAAATTTTTAAAAAAATTTTATAAACTTTAAATGTAAATTACTTGCAATAACACAAATATAAAGGTATGTATAAACAAACAAACACATACAGTATAAAGAAACTAAATAATGTCACAAATCATAATTTAAAATGAAATCTACATTTTCTATTCAATTTCCTAATCTTCTAAAACCCACTTATACATGTTTAATATATTATACTCTAATTCTAACTTCTAATTCTAACTTTAACTCTAAAAAATACACACCAAAATTTATTTTTCGAGATTTTATATTATTATTTCATTTTAATCTGAATTTCATTTTAATCTGCAACAAATAATACAAAAATATTATAGAATAAAAAAAGTTATATGCCAAAACAAATAAAGACTACCAACAGAATTTTTTTGAAAAATTTAGCTATTATATAAGCAAGATACAAATTACAAAATGAAGTATAATACATATAAAATGTATTTACTACAATTTCTATTAAGAGTAGAAAAAACAGCAATTAAATTTATAAACTGTAACTTATTAACTAGATATTTACAAAAAACTAAAGAAAGAGAATCTAATAAGATTAATTACTTAGCAGCTATTTGCATTACAAAGAAATTAAATAAAAAATACCAAATATACTAATAATTTTTAGTTAAATTCGAGAAGCATTAACAAAAGCTAAGCATAAAATACCAGACAAGATGCTGCAAAAATAGCAAGAAAAAGCTAATTTAATCAAGCTAAACTTAGGCTTAATTAAATACTTGACAAATATAAACCAAGCAAAAATAGTAAAAAAAAAAATAAAAAAAAGAGTCACTAAAAAAGCAGAAGAAAAAATACAAATAAAAGAATCCAGAAAGCAGAAACAAAATGAAAACTTAGAAAATGAATGAAAGAAGTATACAGAAATTTAAGAAAAATAAAAAATATAGATCTTCTTTAGTATAGGTGAGCATATATAATTTATTACAAAATTATAATATATAAAACCTAACCAATTTGAGCCATTTTATATTTTAACCTTAACTCTAACCCTAATACTTATAAAATTACTTAAATTAGTTCAAAATAGTTAATTTATATATATTATAATTGTATAATATAGTAATTATATATGCTCACCTATACTAAAGATCAACTAAAAATATAAATATAAATGATAAACAAATACAGTGCGAGACAGTTAAAGATATTTACCTTTTATTTTATTATTAAAAAGGCGCCAAATTTGAATAAGAATATTATAAAATATCAACTTTTTACTAAGATATGCCAAATTTAAAATAATGCAATATGAAAATAATTAATTTTTATTGACTTATGCATGTTTATGTATGTAGATCAGCACCAAATTTTTGATTTATATATAAAATAACAAAGTTTAAACTGTTATAATACTATTAAAAATAAAAATAAAAGAAAATTCTCTTTCAGAAATGTAGTTTGGATTACAAACTTTCAATTTGAAAGAGGGTTTTTTGATTTAATAATTTTTTGTCAAGTTATATTATTTTTAAAACAACTAATAAAATTATATATCTTTAGCTATACTGCACTGTAGAAATAGGAAACACAAGCCAAAGCTACATAAAATAGGCAAAAGAAAAAGAAAAAAAGAGGAAAAACAAGAAAAAAAAGCAAAAAAAGATAAAAAAGCATTTATAAAAAGCATTATGCAAAATATAATTAGAAATAATAAGAAAAAATACAAGATATTAAAAAAAAAACTAACAAGAAATATATACAAAAGATACAAAATATGAAGATGAAGATATGTATAGTGATATAAATGATTCATTAAAATGTAGTATCTAGTACTATAAAACAGAATTTGCAAAAAAAATGAATTATTTATAGCAAAAGTATATACATGCTAAATAACAAATCACACATTCAAAAAAAGAGTTGCAAATTTAGAAGAAATTTTGAACAAGAACAAATCTATAAAATTGATTAAAAAGTATTTTTTTTTATATTTAGTGGTTCTGCCTCATACTTTATTAGAAATATTAGAAGATCAATATTAACAGAAAATATAATTTTTTATACTATATCCTACTATATGAAGAACTCACTTAGCATTAAGGCCCAGGGTGTGACCTGTCTAGCAGACTATGCTTCACATTGGATCTTCAAATCCCTGAGGATTTGATTCCAATAATCACTAGCTAGAGCAGCTGCATGCTTTATTAAGAAATTTGACAAAATAAAAACAAATAAACAAAAAAATACGAAGATATAGAAGATAATAATAAAAGATACAAGCAAAAAAGTAAAAGATAAGTGAAGAAAATATCAAAACAAAAACAAAAAGAATGATTATCCTAATATCACATTTATAAGCCTGTGAAAGGCCTTAAAAAATATATATTATACTAAATAAATTATATTCCTACATTAAATTTATCTATTTAGTATATCTAAATTTAAAACATTGTTAGATAAATACTTCTTTGACCAGATTAGATAAAGAGGTTTACTTGATCCAGATTAGTCTTAGAATATTGTTTGATCAGCTTTTACATTTGAAGCATGTGCCTTGATGTGTTTGTTGTCCCATTATACTGATTTAGGAAATAAATAATAGCAACTGTTTTGGTATATGTGATATTGATCTTTTAGAGGAGATAAACTAAATTGCTCACTTTTTACAAAAATTTTTTTGAAAAAAAGTGGTGGACCAACAAGAGTATGTAAGGTTCATCTTGTAAGTTTTATAGTTATATAGTTTAGTTTCTCAGTTTCTATTAGATATTCTTGATCAGGG